ACTCACCTCAGCCTCCCAAAGGCGCGGGATGACAGGCTGAGCCACCGAGCCCGGCTGTCCTAGATTCTTTATCACTATCTACATATTTCACAAAACCCAGGCATCACTTTCCGGTGTCTCCTCAGTCATCCAGGTGAGTTAATTTTGCAGTGGTAACACTGAAGGCAGGAGTTATTCTACTGACTTTTCCCTGGGTTAACAACCTGGGTCATGGATAGAAAAGGTATAGAAACATTAAACACTGCGTCCCACGCAGGCACAGGAAACACTGAAATGTGGCTTCCAGAAGGCTCACAGACACAAAAGAAAACACAAACCATACTACCGCAGTGCAAGCGTCAGCCTTCTAAAATAATTTCTTCTAGCAGGATAAAATAATGTTTGGCTGGTCACGGTGGCTCATGCCTGTAATCCCAGCACTTTGGGAGGCCAAAGCGGGAGGACTGCTTGAGACCAGGAGTTCTAGACCAACCTGGGCAACAAAGCAAGACCTTGTCTTTACAAAATTAAAAAATAAGCTGGGCGTGGTGGTGTGTGCACCTGTAATCCCAGTTACTTGGGAGGCCGAGGCAGAAGGATCGCCTGAGGCCAGGAGGTCAAGGCTGCAGGGTGTTGTGATCGTGCCACTGCACTCCAGCCTGGATAAGTGAGAGTGAGACTCCCACTCAAAAACAAACAAATACGAATGTTAGCCCTTGGAAGAGATGGTCAGTAAACACTCCCATAAAGAATAAAAATGAGCCAGGCTTGGTGGCTCAGCCTGTAATCCCAGCACTTTGGGAGGCTGAGGTGAGTGGATTGCCTGAGTCCGCGGGTTCGAGACCCGCCTGGGTAACTTGACGAGACCTCATCTCCACTATAAATAAAAAAATCAGCCGGGCCTGGTAGCGCGTGCCTGTAATTCCGGCTACTCGGAAGGCCGAGGTGGAAGGATCGCCAGAGCTCTCCAGCTCGAGGTTGCGGTGGCCGGGAGCGGCCACTGCGCTCCAGTCTGGGTGACGGAGTGAGACTCCAACTCAAAAAAAAAAAAAAAAGAATAAAAATGTTCTTTATTTATGTTAATCGATTATGTAACACACAATAACCAGCAAACAAATATAACGTTTTATTGCTGCAGCTGACTCTGTATAGAATGGGTTACCTAGAACATCTTATAATGAAACATACCTATTTAAATAAATCACAATTGCTATGGTTCTCTTCCTTTTATACACATTTTTTTCTACAAGGACCAGGAAATTAATGGTCAGGAGGGAACAAGGACATAATTGCTTTGCTCTCTCTCAAAAACTAACTGCACGTGACATAATTCAATGACACTTGAGTCCCATGAAATGATCTGAGCAATTATTTTCTGATGACATTTTCCTCATGGAAATAAAATTTACTTTTTTTTTTTCATTTAAAAACCACTCTAGTTGCCAGGACGTGACAGCTTAGACCTGTAATCCCAGCACTTTGATAGGCAGAAGCGAGAGGATTGCCTGAGCTCAGGGGTTCAAGACCAGCCTGGGCAACATAGCAAGACCTTATCTCTACAATAAATCAAAAAATTAGCCAGGTGTTGAGACATGTGCTTGTAGTTCCAGCTACTTGGAAGGCTGAGGTAGAAGGATCGCCTGAGGCCAGCAGGTCGAGACTGCGGCGGCCGTGAAAGTGCCACTGCACTCCAGCCTAGGCAACAGAGTGGGACTCCAACTCAAAAAAACAGATTAAATATAAAAATAAAAATCACTCAGTGTGTAGTTAAAAGCTTTCTTTTAAGAAATGTTGGTGGGGGCCGGGCTCAATGGCTCAAGCCTATAATCCCAGCACTTTGGGAGGCCGAGACGAGAGGACTGCCTGAGCCCGCGGGTTCTAGACTAGCCTGGGCAATATGGTGAGACCTTATCTTTACGATAAATCAAAAAATTAGCTGGGCATGGTGGTGTGTGCTTGTAGTTCCAGCTACTTAGAAGGCTGAGGCAGAAGGATCGCCTGAGCCCAGCAGGTCGAGGCCGTGAGTGTACTACCGCACTCCAGCCTAGGTGACAGAGTGAGACTCCAACTCAAAAACGAAACAAAAACAAACGAAATGTTGGTGGGATCAAGTTAAATTTAGGCATTAACATTCCTATGAATTCAGCGTCCTACTTTTGATTTAGGTATAAATATTTGAAGAATCGGTTTAGCCGCATACTAGAGTATTTACTAGTTTGTTAAAATGTTTTCCTCACAGAAAACAGTTCGGACATCTCCGACTTTAAAATGTTAATGTGTGACAAAATTTGTTATTTCACTTTAGATCAAGAGAAATTAACTTAGACATGAAGGGAAAAGAATGTCCAATGCAAATTAACTTCTAACTTCCTTCAGCCCTGTCCTATTTCTGAATAGAACAGGGAAGGTGCACGCTCAGCAATAAAATTTAGATATTAGACAGAATTGGAAGTGTCACATAACACACCATAAGCACTTAGAGGACAGTACTGATCCCAAATGAGAATGTGGCAAAAATATCAACCCACTCCACGAAGGATAATTTTTCAGTGACTCCTTCCTTCTTTTTTAGAGATAGAGTCTCACTCTGTCACCCAAGCTGGAGTACAGTGGCGTAATCATAGCTCACTGCAGACTTGAACTCCCAAACAATCGTCTTGCTTCAGCCTCCCAAAATGCTGGGACTACAGGTGCACACCA